TGCAGAGACATGGCTGAACTCCGACGTCATACCCCAAGAAGTCGTGTTGTCAGGATACTCTTGTTTCCGATGCGACCGAACATCAAAGGCTCACGGTGGTGCTCTGTTGTACATAAAATCGTCACTATCTGGCAAACTTATCAGTACCTATCGGAGCGAGGATAGTTTATGCGAACAATGGTGGTGCACATTCCTCCTCAGGCGCGCAGAACTAATAGTGGGGGTTATCTACCGGAGCCCATTAAACCGTTGCTGCTATTGGATACCACATGTACAGAAGCACACGAGCCGCCCTCAGTTCTTACTGATGGGGGATCTAAATTTACCTAAGATAATTTGGCCAGATGTTTGACTTCTTCCCGGTCATGGCAACGTTAAGGCTCAATTCTCTAAAATGACTATTGAAAGCGGGGCAACGCAACATGTCATCCAACCGACGCGCGTAACTCCGTACTCGGCATCTTGTCTGGACCTAATGTTTACGAGCTGCGAGCAGAAGCTGAACCAGATCAGAGTCATCGAGCCTTTGGCGAATAGCGACCACTGCTCCATTGTGGCAAGCTTAGAAGTGTCGTTACCATATTGCAATCAACGGAAACTGACATTCAACTATTGGAAGACGGACTTCAACGGACTCGTCCAAGCCGCAAGTCAGACTGATTGGACACTACCACATGATGCGTCACTTGAAGCCTGGTGGTCATTAATAAAGGGGAAGCTTAACTCGCTCTGTACTCGGTTCGTTCTCCTTAAGTATCCAAAAATCGGACCTGTCAAACCGCATTGGTTTGATAGGGAATACAAACAGTTAGCGCGACGACTTCGTAAACTTTGGGATAGATACATCAGCTCGGGTTGTGATGAAGATTACACGGTGTACAAGAAACAGCGTAACTTATGTAACGCCGCAAAGATCAAGAAACGCCGGCAGTTCGAAGAGGAGCTAGCATCCTCGGCCACAACTGCACCCAAGCGGATATTTGCCTACTTGAAACGTCAACTGAAACCTGGAGACGACCTACCGGTCTTAGAGAGCTTAGGCGGGAAGCCACTCATTTCAAGCGCGGAGCGCGCCGACGCTTTGGCTACGCACTTCCTCACTGTATTTTCCAGTAAACCGGCGGCTGTTCCAGTACCGGCACAGGTTGCGCAAGTCTTGCTCGATAGCCTACAATGTGATGCAGCCGAAGTACATCAGCTACTCGTCAACCGCAATGGTGCAAAGCCCCCCGGACCAGACGGACTTCACCCACTAATACTCAAGTCCCTATCGATTATCATCTCACTAGCTGTGACAAACCTTTTCGATAGATCGCTCTCTGAAGGATCCGTCCCGAACGACTGGAAATGCTCGATAGTTAAACCGCTTCCCAAGGGTGGTGATCCGAGTAAAATAGAGAACTATAGACCGATCTGTTTGACTTCGGTATTATCCAAAGTTCTCGAGAAGGTTGTGAAAAAGTGTCTGCTGTCGTTCTTCGAATCGATGGACGGATTGACACCAGCGCAACACGGCTTTACGAAAGGGCGATCCTGCATCACCAACTTGATGTACGCAAACCACCAGTGGGTTCGAGCTCTCAATGAACAGAAGGAGGTTGACGTGGTCTACATCGACTTTAGTAAGGCGTTTGACAGAGTGAACCACGAGGTACTCCTTCGTAAACTGAGGACATACGGAATCGGTGGCACGTTACTTCAGCCGATACAAGAGTTTATTGTGGGACGAAGGTTTAGAGTACAGGTCAATGACCATCTGACAGAATGGTTCCCACCGACCAGTGGTGTGCCTCAAGGAACAGTACTTGGGCCAGGATTATTTCTTATTCATATCAACGATCTTCCGCAGCAGCTCCAGTCACCATGTGCCCTGTTTGAAGATGATTTGAAAATCTGGAGGGTTACGGAAAACCAGAACGACTGCGCTCGCCTCCAGCATGACTTAGAGCGACTGTCAAAGTGGTCCACTGAAATGCAACTCCCTCTTAACGCAAGCAAGTCGGAGTTCATCAATATCACCAGACGTCCAGCCACTCGATCATACACCTTGGACGGCCAGTTGCTCCATCCCAACACATCTGTCAGAGACTTAGGAGTTCTCTCACGACATGATTTAAGATCACTAGAAAATACAGAGAAATTGTACCGTGCGGGACTTCGTATGCTCTGGGCATTACGACGCAGTTTCTCCAAATGTTCCGAAGCAACCGTCACTCGTCTATTCACCTCGCTCATTAGACCAATCCTTGAATACGGTGCCCCAGCTTACTATCCGATAACCCAATGGGAAACTGAAAACTGGCGAAAATACAGCGTATCACAACTAGAACGATACCAAGTCTACGAAAGCTTCCGTATGAAAAAGGTTGTGAAAAGCTCGGACTCTACACACTATCCTCTCGCCGAGTAAGAATTGATCTTATTATGACCCATAGAATACTACACTTGAATCACTTTCTCATACTGCGGCCAATATTTCACTTGCGAGAACCCTGTAACACCCGAGGACATCGTTACAAACTCAGGGTCCCCAGCATGAACAAAGTATCACATCAGCTTTGTATCGAACGAAGAATCGTAAACTTATGGAATACACTACCTGAAGGATTGATGGAGACCGATTATGTGAAGTGTTTTATAACCCTTATCGACGACTATTTTGGAAACCTGTGCTTTTGTGAAACGATGCACATACAGTGCCAAAAGAAGACAGTGTATGTCTGGAAATAATGACGCTAGTACAAATTTCTAACCGAACACGGATAAACGATAAACGGACCAGACACAACTGCTGCGAATTCACAAGTAAAGTTTGATTTTTCGTAATTCGATAGAGTTGTACAGAAACCTTTCTACTTGCTTTTAAATACAGTCTCAGTCTCAGTCTCTGACTCGGTCCGTTGTCAATCAACGTGGTAGGAGGACAATAACCGTGCATTTCCAAGTCTCTGTTAGCGTTTATTTTCTTCCAGTGATCATACATTTCAAAGCGCATCTCGTTTCCATGCTCATACATACGTTATGCAATATCCACAATAAAAAGCCAGAAACTTGCTATAACCACCAATAAAGGACAAAACTTTTGTACACCCAATAAAGCCATGCACGTATTTCCTCATTTCCTCCTTTCTTATATATGTAGCTGTGTGTTTGGGTCGTTCTTATCCGTTTTGCTCTTCATGTACGTCCCATCCCGTTAGTGCCTTATTTTGTCAAACGCAGCACCACAAATTGAGTCCCAATGAACATTCCGCTCAGTCAGCTACTCGGACTTATACGAAATGTCGTACTCCCGCAAACAATTTTCCATTGAGATACCGTAGGGAAGACACAGGCGAGAACCTGCTGAGATTAGATCGCATTAGTACACCCACCTCCAGAAGCCGCATCGAGTGTAGTTTACAGCGTTATTATACCTATTGCATCGGTGTGACGGTCTGGTGTCGCTGCATGCTGGATGGCAACGGATAGCCCTCACGTAAGTAAAAATACTGCTTATACAGTCATATATGGAGAGGGCTATTTAGTGGTCTGGAAATTATCCCATTATATTTGAATTATTTGTGTAAATTTCTAGATAGAACTGCACTTTCTTCGTACACTTTGGTGATCATTTCGAGCATGTTGAACTACATGTTGCTTGGTGCCCCCACTGGTCATCGACGCTTGAAGGTTTCGTGTGCTACACCTCTTCATTTCCCTTGCTAGCAACCCCATCGGGGTAGTTTTTTATAGCTAGAACAACAGGGAAACATTTGTTGTGCAAAATAAAAGCATCCATGCATTAGTCTTTTTTGTGAAACCACAATCCTCTGCTTTCTGCCACTGACGACTGTTGTACAGCTGCTAGCTGCCCCTTGAGACTGCGACTGTCTGAATGCTCAGTCACGCGCCCAGCCCAACCGACGGAATACAGAAGACCAAGGTTCGGTATACAGAGAGACGGATTGTATGAGAGCACGGCGCAATAAATAGGTTGTAGGCAACTACTTAAACAACAATATTGGAGATGCTAATTGGTGTTAATTAACACAACTCAGATGGTTCAATTTCGTGCTCCAACTTGCCTCTGATTCCACGTCGATTCGCATTTTGATCTATAGTGGAGTTCGATCTCTAATTGCAGATCGATCCACTTTTACGGCACTGCTTTCGGCTTGATTGCTAGCTGTAAGCTCTCTCCGTAACACCGGGATCCGCCCAAATTATAAATTTGGGATAAACAGTATCACGGCGAGTCTTTTATAGAGTTTTCCTGTTGACGGACAGTAGATTCTATGGTTTTCAATGAAACAACTACACTTTCTAGGAGGTTGCATTGTGTCGGTGAGTAAGTATCTATGGGAGAGTTGTGTGCCCTTGCGTTGATTCCTTCAAAATAGTATCATAGTTGCTCTTTAAAAGAATATGTTTACCTAACCGTTGAGCATTCTCTTTTGCTACTAAGCTTCACAACAAACACCTTAACCGAAACGCAGCCACACCAGCTAGGGTTCTCAGGCTTTCCAAACGTATCGACTGGAGGTTTCCCCGATCGGTAGAGTACGCCGTCGACAAAAATGCAAAAGAAAATCGCTAATTAACATACTTTCGAAAGAGTTCTTTTTCAATGCTTCCATGCCTTACTACTGTAAAAAGATTGAACTGAAAGAATAGAACAGTTTAAAGTACCTGATAGAAATATTTTGAGTTGCCGCTTAGAATACCAAGTAGATAATGTTATTTAAACATTTGGACCCCATGTAGACTGGGTTGACAGTTTTTTGGAAGAAAAATATTTCGTTCAATCTATTCCCATATTAATAACTGCGCAGGTCATTATAACCTAGTGATTCAACTTCCGTGCACGAAAAGCGCTAGGTTGGTGTTGTGGCTTGCTCTTCTCAATCTCTCGGCATTTCACTGACATGTAGAAAACCCATCTTGAAATCCCGTATTTACCTTGCTAGATTTATTTTATTGGAGGTTCAATTTAAATTCAATTCAGGAAAGAGCTTTATGCTCCCTGGGGTGGATATTCAGCTATTCCACACATGTCTTCGGCATTGTAAAAAGAATATAAAAAATTAATAAGCAGCAAATACAGCCATATGTTACAACGTCTATTCGCTTACAAGCTCCATAACGACTGAGGTCTGGTTGCTCAAAATCCCACCAAATTTGGGCTTACGGATTATTGGTAAGCGGTTGTACGGGAATAAATAGATCTATACTTTTGTCTTGTTGAGGAAGTTGACATGCAGAGCTTGCACCATAAAGGGGGTAACTTGCATCAGCGTGTATTTTTGAAGTAAGTCTTTGCATGAACTGGAATGAATAGGCACAATAATCTCACCAAAGGTCGGCTTTAGAATGTCACCACACCGAAATACCGTTGTGTCAATGACCTGTCTAGGTTTTTGAAATGCTTCTTTAATAAACCGGGGAATGTCAGAGAGGAGCACTAAGTCCAGTAAGACATAGGTAACGATAAATGGCAGTATTAGGTAGCGGAAGTCAGAGGAGGATCGCAAACAACCAGCGTAAAGAGAAAGCCTCCTCACTTTTGTTAAAACTTCATTCACATGTAGTGACCGTGATAGATCATGGCTGAGTGTAACACCTAGATGCTTCACAGATTCGGTGGAGTGCAAGCGTTCACCATCTATGTGAACTTCAGTGCGATCCATTAGAAGTTGCTGATAACGACGGTCATTGTGAAGGGAAAAAAGAAAGTCACTGCATTTTGATGCATCAAGCGAGAAAATGTGAGTTCGGGACGATAATGCATGGTCAGCGGCATATGCGATCAGTTCCGTAGGTTTGCACAATACTTCTGTGGAAATTGCCAAAAGCGAGCAACAAACTTGACCGTAATCGGATGGTGAATGGTTGAGTTAGGTATCCTCATCAGCCATTTACATAAATGAACTCCTAATACATGTAACTACATAAATCAGATAATATGCTATTTTGATTTCCGGATAAAGCGATGATCACTGCTGAATTGGCGGACCTTCAACCGTGTTGCAATCAAGATTTTGGTAGAAGGCATTCTGCAGCAATTTCTTTGTTCCTGCGGGTGTATTCATCCGCATGCATCTGAATCACCTCTTCCACTGTGTGAGCCCGACCGTGAGGTATCAACAAATAGCACACAGTGAAAATGAGAATAGTAAGGTAAACCCAGAAGAAAAAGCGATCAATCGTCATGACAACAAAATGCCATTCGCGCTCTCTGCGTGCGACGGCGTCCTTCTTGGTCACTTTGTGCATCAGAACTTTTAGCGCTTCACGCAACTCCCTCAGGCTATCATGAAACTGCATGGACGTCTTTCGTGATCTTGGTAAATGTTTCCTACTTCTCGGTTCTACAAAGCCTGTTAAAATATCAGAGGAGTCAGAGGGCTTGTCCGCATCATTAAATTTATGGGATTCACCGTTTCCGTTTTCCGCGATTTCTGGAGTGGACTCCCGACTCCATTGTGAACCGCGCTCTAGAATGCACTGACGGAAATACCTGTCCCGTGCGGCCAAACATTCTTGCGCAATAGTGTTCTGCGCAGTGCAACCGATTGCTTGCTCGCGAAACCTTTTTCGAATAGTATCGCTAGCAAATTGGTTACCGCTGATGGGTAGTTTCTGACAAAAGCTGTTGTTTTCTATTTGCGTAGTTGGATATCCCATGTGTGAGAGATTGGTCGCCTCGATTTCTTGACAATGTGCATCATAGTGCCTCATTGCCTTGTCCCTTACTGAACTGATGGTTTCATTAAGCTCATCATCCTCCATTGGTCTGGATATTCTCAGTGGTTTGGCTAAGCAATCGACCATCTAAACGGAAAGTAGGCAACGTTACTCTGTAATAATTAATTAATTCATAACTGCCAGTTTGTCCACATAGGACTAATGATATTAGAAACATCTGGGTGCATAAATGCACCCAAGTTGGACACCATAATGATGCTAAGAATTTGACAGAAGGCAGGCACCTTCTAAATATTACAAGGACAATACATACACTTTTGAAAGAATCCTAAATCAGAGATAATTGCATATCAGCGAATACCACTCACCCTCACTAGCCAAGGTGGCACAGGTCCTTGTTTGTGAGAATAACTGTGCAGGTGGATTACAACGGTGGATATAAATGTCGAAAGGCTCAGCAAAACCATGTTCAAACAGTAGTAATAGCCTGTAGGCGAGAAATAGATTAAAAAGCAATATAAGTGACAAGCCGGTTAATTGTTTCAGTAATAATCAGAAATGCACTCACTTACAGCTTGACATGTCAACTGTCGACAGAAAATTGGTGCAAATTCAATGTCTGTAGTGACGTTGTAGATTGCAACGGTAATTTAATGATGGTAATTTACCTATCCGAATCTTCTCATTTTAATGCATCTAACAGCGTCATGGTTTGAGGTACAGAAGGGTGTTTCCCGTTTTCTAGCTAAGTATATGTGTTCAATGCTGTCTACTTAAAAATTTCATCCTGTTTTTTAAACTATTAATAGGATTTTGTCAAGAAATCAGACCTGAAGTCAACAAATGTGATGGTTGCGTAGCAATTAGTACAACTGTAAGTAAAAGGTTCAGGTAATTGTAGTAGTGATAACTTGGGTCTTCATGGACTCTTCTGTACTGTGGTATTGCTGGTATCACAGTAATAATTGGGTTTAATTTGTTCCTTACCACTAAGAGCTTGCCGCCCAAATGCTTAGGAGGGTCTCTGTTTTAGCTTTCGAAAAGACTTGTAGGTAACTAGGGTCCGAATCGTGCTATCTGCGTTGCTGCGCATTAAACTGTAAATCGCCCATTGAGGTGGGATAGTTAATATAGTTTGCATGCTAATGAATGATACAAAGAGATCGTCCTGTCGATCTTCTGACCATATTAGTTTACACATGCCTGCGTTATACTCGAAAATCTATATTTGTCTTTCCAGCCCTCTTCTATTTGGCCCGATACTTCCACGTTAGTTTTAAATGTGGCCGAAACCGTAAATAAAATTGTAGTCCACTTAACCAAAATATGACCGAGGCATGCTCTCATCCTTTACCACTCCAGGGGCTTTAGATGAGTTGTAGGAGTGATTGGATCCTGAGACGTAACGCCTCTTATTGTCTTAACATTGTCCGATGATATTCTAGGAAAGAATTCCCACTACTAATGTTCAGGCAATAATTAATATTGGGATTTGGGACAATTTGTAAGATTCGTAGGTTAAGAGTATTCACACAACCAGCACATAGCTGGAAAACTAGTAGACATTACATCACTTGTGGTTTTGTCAGGACTGTCTGTTCATCTACCTTATTTGAGGTTAGCAAGTGATAGAACCCTTACTTTTGCGGTCACTGATCAAGCTAAATTGTTACGAATGAGTTGCATTAATTCACGGACATGCACTTGGTCACTGCGAATGCCACCTGTCCGCTTTAGCCATTGGTTTTAGTCCATGGTACAAAAGTACATTGTTACGAGTTCCTCAGATATGGGACAAACGCACTACTGGTGCGTTTCCGGACCTTCAGTGACATTCTGGTTAAGGGTTGTTATAACGATCCCCGTACAAATTTGAGGCAATTTTCTTTTTATTGTTGTGAAAATATAGACGTTAGGTATCTTATAGATCCTTCATCTGTTGCAAAACCGGTTCCATGAGTGTGCCATGCAACCTGTCGTAAACTAGTTTGCGAAAGCTGTTGTATTATCGACAAGGCAAAAGCATCGAAGTTACATAAATAACAAAGGCGATGGTTAAGTCAAAAGTCACCGTGTTGTCGGGTACTCTGAGGATCCGCTCGTTCCAGTGATTTGTTATGTAACGCGGCCGATAAGAAAATATTCGCATGCCTAAAGAGCTCTTAAATCATGCCAGAATAACCACTTGAACAAACTAGCACTAGTACTAACACAAGCTGCTGTAATCCAGGAATCATGTGGTCGGAACCCGGCAGAGGTCAAATGGAAGGCGCATAAAGAATGAGAACCAGAATGTCGAAACACAGGTGTCTGGTGGGTTTGCAGACTTGCGAAATTCTGCTGACTGAGAGTGAACCAAGGTGCATTAGCTGAATTAGATTCCATCCGTTGTACGGGGATGGATGCTGTGAGGATAAAAGTGTCACCAGTCATAGGCTCCCATGCAAAGGAACTCAAGAGAAAATGAAGAAATATAACTAAAGCTATCAGAGCAGCCGTTTTAATTGCTGGGTAATTTTCACTAAACTTTTTCGTTAAAATTATTCACACGGTGTGGTAAGATGGTGCAGGCAATTGACAAGCGTGCCGTATTCGAACAGAGCAGTTGATTTGAATCATGCGTGTATCTCGTATCCATGCTGATTGACTCGCTAGGGCGGGTTGGTTTAACTGATTCAAAGGAGGAATCCCAAGGGTGTAGCAGCGTCATTATTTGTGGGGATGACTTACTTATTTGTGTCGAGGTTCCTATATGCTTGTCAGGTTGCCGATTTCGCTGAGCTCATTTTACTGAATAAAACCTTTGTACCTGAAGTACCGAGCCTGCAACGTGGGATCAGAGAAAACCAAGCTAACCCACTGCTACTCATTTTGCTGATTAGAGCGCAACCAGCTGTATAACCACCTGCCCCATAAAACACGAAAGAACCGAACTTGGCCAATAATTGCAGAATATGGAAAAGAAAATGGGTCGATTTTGTGTGCCGGTGCGGCTGTATGAGCAAGCGTTGGGGCTATAGAGTGACAATGTTTAGACATACAATCGGAGATGAAGCAAACCGCGTCTTGGAAAGGAAGCAGTAGGAAAGAGAAGAAGACCCAGCTGATCTGGAAACCCTCGCTCAAAACTTCGGTGATTCCTGCGAGGGCCAGGCTAAGTAGAAGCATCAGCGATATCTATTTTTTTACCCGCAACCGACGCTCAAACGAAACTATCCATAAATATGTTACGGAGCGTAAAATCCTAGCTCGTTCTTGTAATGTTTGTAATTGTATGGTTAACATTCTCCTCCGAGATAGAATGGTAATGGGATCAATGATGAAAACATCACAAAGCGACTGTTGCGGAAACCGCAGCTATCGCTCAGACAATATCTTGATATATGCCACAGTAAATCATTAGCTGCCCGCCAAATTTAGCAAATGCGTTTGCCGACTGATGCAGAGCTATGTGCCGGATCCAGTTTACCTGACAAAACTGTAGTGCCTATCATTAAGATAAACGAAAGTTTTAAATTCTACGCCGCGCGACACCCGAAGCATCGCAATCAATGTCCGACGTGGGGCCGAATTTGCGTCAGATGTGACAAACGGAATCATTTCGCTCGAGCTTGTCAGTCTTCGAAGGTAAATTCACTCAGTCGTGGCACATCGCCCTCTGACTCTGAAAATTCCATCAACAACGTGTCGCGGACAAGACAAAGAAATGCGTCTATGCAATTGTATTGCTTGGTGGCTAGATGGTGCGTCCCTATTTGGACTCGGGTGTCACCGTAGATATGATTCCAGCGAAGCTGTACCCAGGAATTGGTGTACGACTTGATCATGGAGTACTACGAATGTGGAACGGTTCCAAGCTCAACCGAAAGGTTTGGCCACAATCAAAGCGATCAGTCCTCAGGATGACTTTTCACATCAGTTGGAGTTTATGGTCATGGAGGAAGAACTCACCCTGATTCTCGGCATTTATTCCGTTTAATGTCTTAGCTTAATTCATTTTAACGGTGACCGTTTTGTACATGTGTGTGAAGCAGATATATGTTAGTAAACAGTATCCGTCAGTGTTTAATCCAAGTTTGGGAAGGTTTGAAGGTTCCGTTCATTTGGCACTAGATCCATCAAAACGACCGTTTGCGCTGCTAGCTAGAAGGGTTCCGTTTGCATTATGTGATAATTTGTCATCTACTTAAATACCTTGATGCCATTGAATGTAATCGTGATTGTCACGAAAAATGACAACGATTTCCTTCCGTGCATAGATCCTAAGCTATTGAATGTAGCTTTGCGTAGAGAACGCTATACGCTGCCAACGTTGGAAAATGCCCTGCCGCGTTTGGTTAGGGCGAAATACTTCACCAATGTTGATTTCTCATCGGCCTTCTGGTACGTGGTCTTAGATGAGGAATCCAGTTTACTGACGACGATTGCTACACACTTCGGACGTGTCAGCTGGCTACGTTTAACTTTTGGTTTAAAGGTTTCGAGCGAAAGTATTTAAAATCGGTTACTGCAAGTTGGTGATGACTTAGACGGTGTAAGGTGTGTAGCAAGGATGTATTATTTACGGCCCAACCGAGCAGGACGATGACATCAAGCTGCACCACTGTTGCAGCGGTGCGTGCAAAAGAACATAAAGCTCAAAAGCGGGAAAGTTGAGCTCCGAAAATCAGAAATGATTTTTCACGAGCACGTGCGGACATCCGAGGGAATAAAAATCGATCTTGGAAAAGCAAGGCAGTACAGATGTCACAACCTAAGGACATCAAGACTGCTGTTTAATGGCATGGTGAATTATTTGTGCCGGTTCTTGCCAAGACTTGCTGAAATTATGACGCCCATCCGGAGACGGACTCACAATGGTATAATGTGGAATTGGGGAGGGGGCAGGGGGCTCCCTTTGCAACCATCAAGCGTCAACACAATGGAGCGATTCAACGACTATACAGCTGGGAGTAAGACTACAGTGTATACTAACCACCAACCGCGCTTGGCAATAGTTAGTAAACCGTTACACAATATCCCTCGACATCTTCAACGTATGCCTAGCCGTCTCCACAAATACGACCTAGATCTGGCTTATATTCCGGGAACGCAAATGTTCATCGCAGACACTATGTTAAGAGATTAGCCTTCGAAAGACGAAGACCAACAATAAGAAATCGAGGCGGTCAATCTGGTACAGCAACTGGCGGTAATTACAGATCGCCTGAAAGAGTTAAAGCGTCACACTGAGAAAGACGCGACTTGCGTGGCGTTGCGCGACGTGATTTTGTAGGGGGCTAGATAAAAAGGATAATGTCCCGAAGGAATTAATGCCGTCCTTCAGCTTCAGGATGAACTAACGGTGTATGATGGTTTGCTGTTCGAGGGAAATCGCATTTTGATCCCACCGCCGCTTTGAAAAGAAATGCTAGAACATCCTCATCTAGCCTATTTTTGTGTCAGCTACAGTATTAGTAGAGAACGTGAACTGATGTTCTGGACCAAGATGACAAACCAAATCCGAGACCAATTACCAAGCTGTTCAGCTTTTCGGCCCCATGAGGATCGCCAAGCCAGGGAACCCGTGATGTTGCGTGAGATTCCAGATCACCGAAGACGGAAAGTAACAGTGAACTTATTCTGTGAAAACGAGAAGGACTATTTTATTACTGTGGACTATTACATTGACTATTTTGAGATCGACCCACTCATCGCTACCACCACGGAACCAGTCATTAACAAGCTTTGAAGTGAGTTTGCCAGAAACGAAATACCGGAGGAACTTAACTCCGACAATGACCCGTAAGTTACGAGTGCTGCTCTCCAGACCTTCGCGAAAAAGTGGAAACATTTGCATCGAAAAACCAGCCCGTATCAGAGTCAATCTAACGGAAAGACAGATGCAGTGGTCAACCAATCCAAGAGGCTGTTTTCGAAAGCCAGCTCCAGTTAAGAGGACCCGTATCTAATGTTATTGGGGATTCACAGTGCGCAGTTACTGAAGATAAGTCTCAGCCCAGTACAACATTTGTATAGCAACAGGACAAAAACCGTAATGCATGCGACTACTGAACTCTTACACCCAGTTTGACATCGCATGAGAAACTACAAAGGGCCTTAAGAAAACCGATTGCAGATCAGAAATGGTATTATGACCACGGGACCCGGGCGCTACCGGAACTATCAGTAAATGACGAAGGATGGATCCAACCAATACCGGGTGTCAGCGAACGGTGGAAGAAGGGTTTAGTGACGTCAGAGGTTGGAGAAAGATTTTATGAACTCAGTACGAGTGGGAAGGTAATTCGAAGGACCCGAGTGTAGCCGAAGAGACACCAGGAACCAGAAGGCGAACCTGTGGCAAAACACTTGAAATCTTACGGAGAGGTCACAACGACTGAGTCAGCAAGGAGTACTCGGAGCGGAAGAGCGTAAGGTGTCTTCTGTGACACGGATGCAGTTGGTTCCGAAAAAAGAAGGATGTGATAAGAGTATGCAATCAAGCGGCAAGCGTACCACATGCAAACAGACCAGCTGATTGGACGCATGCGCTAATTTCGTCTACGAGCTGACTGGCTCGCTAGAGTGGGTTTATTTGACTGATTCAAAGGGGCGTCTCATGAGTGCAGCGGTGTGGTTAGCTATAGAAAAAACCTTTTATTTATATCGGGGTTCCTACACGCCCGTCTGGATGTCATTTTTGCTGTGCTTGCTTTACTGAATAAATCCGTTATTCCTGTGGTAAACGGTGAACCAGTACACTTCTCAAGAAAATGCAGCTTGAAAATGCAACCAACCGAGGTAAGGAACACTGGTTGAGGCTGACGGAGTCGAGCTGGCCAAAATTTTCAGAAGCAGCGAAAATGCCACAAATATATTCATGCCTGTAAATAAATGAAATACAGCCAATATGATGCGGTTTTGTTATTCATCGGTCGTAAACGTAAATAATGGTAGTTAGTAACATGGCATTGAGAACTTGTCAACCGCGTTAGAAATGAATACATACTAACTGTCAACTGAGTCCGACGTTCAGCTACATACGAAATTTGTAGAATCGTAAATTGCATGCAGTCATTCTATGAAAAGAGCCCAGGCATTGATTTTGAATTCTTTTACTTTTCACGAAGGACTGTGCATGGCTGATTTGTTACGTTCTATCCACTTCGAGAATCATATCTATGTAAGCAACTGTTGGTAACCTGAATGAGCTTAGTTCATCTGTGAGTGGACCTGGGCTCTTAATAGACGGATTCGTTGTGCTGAACTAAGGAACTGAGTAGCTGGTGCACAGTATTCACGGCTAACTATAATAATGCAAACGTTAAAATAAGTGTTGAGCTCATTATCAAGTTGAATGACATGGTATTCTTATGGCGGGCCCAATGAAGACGATGGTGCTGGTCATAGGACTAAAAGGCATTGCTATTTTAAATAAACCCATCCGGATTTTCAGGGATCATTTTTCTGAATGCACATAGTCTTACAATACCCTTTGAGTGACCGTATACTTGAATCACCGAGCCTAGTTCCGATACTTAGTAAAGTGGTAGGCACCTGTTTCCTGTCATAAGTGCTTGTTGAAAGCACTGTTGACTGTCCATTGTATGGAACCAAACTGACACACCTAACGTAAAAATAGATACCGTAGAGCTAGGTGAAGCGCAGATGCAGACAACCAATGCAGTGGGGTGGAGGCGAGGAAAAGTACTGGTCCGCAGAAGTGTTTCAGTTTTGCCCTTAACTTCTTAGTGTGTTAAGTGTACCGCGGTCCCCAATATCCAGCATTTGCCCAATGCAACTGTACAATCCCCAGTTGCTTGCTACTAGCCAATAAATTAAAATCAAATTGGCTTCAGCGATTTCCTAGTTAAGGAAAGTCCAATTACTACTTAAAATATTCGGCCACACAGTGTTCCATTTCCATGTCGGACATAGCTGCCGTGCTGTGGAATTTCTGACTGCTGGACTCCAACCACTGTCCTCTACAATGCTGGAAACCTGCAAATTAGTGGAAGATAGATTGCGCTATATCCCATGGCTATTTGACTTAACGGACAGACTAATTGGCGTGTTCTAATAAAAGTCACGGGTTCGGTTCCGTGCATAGGACCGAGCAATTGCTTACTAATAAGGGCCTCAGTACAGCGAAACAATCGTCTGGTGAGCTTCAGCATGGACCTTAGACCATCACACTTGGGAGCTATCAGAGTGATTTAATAAAACATAATAGAATGTTTATATGCCAGAAGATATAAATACTAGCTGCTCCAACTGACAATGTCATTGTGTTTGTATTTCGTCGGAAGCATCAGTCAAACCTTGCGTGGCAGTACAGAAAAGTAACAGCCACCGCATAAATAAATGATGCCAATAACTCCGTGAGAAATACAGATCATCACGATAGGTATAAGAAGGAGAGTTTGCTAAACTCTTATTGATTACAGGATAATACTTGACGGAATCACCGTAGGGACCAAACAAAGCATATCATATTAAAATCGTGACGGAGTTGAATGATGACTGCCTTGTTACCTAATCATGACAATTAAACAATAGGCAAAATGCCGTTGGAATCCAGTCGCAATTGTGCAAATTTAGTGAGGTTATACCGTTGTAAAACTCACTAAGCATAAAACGTCAGAAGGTTGGCCAAAACCATTTTTTAGTGAACTTTGGAATGATAAGCCATTTCTTTTTTATCATATGGAATGGAAAATTTGTCATCTTATGTAAAGTCCAAAGAGAATTTTGCATAGTTAACCAAACCGGAATACCTATTCCGGGACATGATAGCCATATCCCCAAACCCTTCACTTATTTCGTTACAAAACATTACACAAGATTGCTTCGAACCGTTGTATACTGAAAGAAGTTGTTTTCACTTCGTACCTTTGGCATATCCTTGACTCTTCAAGCTCAACTATTTCACCTTCGACAGACTGCCGATTCGAAACTGCTACGCTGTACCGCATGCCGTTTCACGTATTCCAGTTACGATTTTTTCTCAATAAGTTTGCAAACGTTTGTAAATTGAGTACTGATTTAACTGGATTTCCAAAACCACCATAACAAGAATGCAGGTTTTGTTTTCTCTGCTCAGACCTTTCGTAGGGTATAGGTTCAATAGCCTATATTTTTCGCATCCCTATTTGTGAAAGCAGTTAGTCTAGGCCACGTATTGTCGCTACAACTTACCCAATAGTGTTTTTGCGGGGACATGTGGCGGCAGCCAGAATATGACACCAGTCAACAAGCTCAACAGAATGCAGGGAAATACCAGGAGATAGGCATAAAATGCCGGGTTTCGCTTCAAGCTGTTAGAAAGAATAAGATATTTCGAAAAATCACTGTGAATTTATGGAAATAATACATTACATACTATATATATGTTGTTATTACAACTAATTCAATCAAGTCCCTTGAGGGCTGATCTAAGCCTGGATACAAGATTTTGGTGCTAGGATTAAGCGTAAGGGAATTAAATCGTATTTGAAGGTTGGAACGTCGACCCATACACATGCAAACAGTAGAGTGCTGCTCCTTCTGAAGATACCTCAAAGTACTTGTTTAATAAATGTTTAAGTGACTGGCTTAACTGTTAAATAGTAAACAATTATAAATTTAAACATAGTTAATGATGTCTCTTACAACAAAAAGAATGTTAAATCCGGTATCTTCTTTCCGCACTGTTCTGACATCATAATGAAACGTTTAGCCGGTCTGGCCAATATGGTCCACTCATTACTGAGGGTTTCCTGTTCCAAAGTTACCTCTGTCCGATTGTCTAAGAATTGCAAATCAAGCTGTTCGCTGTGCTGAGTCCATGAAGCGAAGCGCAGATAGCAGACTTGGTGATCAAATGGAAAATTCCGGATGTCAACACGACAGTTTGACTTAAAGATGGCCGGAGGGCTCCAAAACACACGACCTTGATAATCGACATTTAGCATCACATCACGGAGCTCCTTGAGGCGCTCATCCACACTGCAAATGGAGAGAAAGCAGCTTTAGTACTAGTTTCGCACTAGGTGAGATCTGAGCACCAATCAAACTTGGCCAGTACGCTGAAGTGTGGTAGCAGCAAAGTGTGAGCACCGAAATAGTGCATTTTCCCAAAAAAGAAATGTTTTTGGCCCTCTTTTGTTTTGGACTTTAACGAGCCGCATTTAAATCAAGTTTAACGTTACAAGTGAATGTCTGATGTGTTTTATAGGGCCTCATTCGTGACACGCTTGCGTCCATTAGTTGAGGTTCTTCGCAACCAGCTTTCTAATCAGACAGTCGTCCGCATGCCCGGAAAAGCGCTAGATTGCAGTTTGAGCCTGTTGGACATGGTCAGTAGTGCGCATCCGTCGGATCCATCAGGATTCGAACACATGATCACCAGCGGCTTGAATCGCCAGTCAGTAGCTTTTGCCACTTGGCTACGGGGGACAGCTTCGTACCGTGATGATTTACATGGTTCCTTTTAGTGAAGGTCGTGTCTTTCGGGGCCAACCCTGTCCTCTGCAATGTTTGTAACGCATGGCAATGGAGGACAAAACGCGCTATATCGCAGCTAACAGAGAACCCCGAGCGTACTCCCTGTAATTATTATAAAAGGTTTGTGCTGGTAAGACCTACTGACCGACTAGCCGGTCAAATTGTAGGGGTATACTATCCTTTACTAGTCATTTTTGATAATATTGTAGATGATGAAAGAAAGTCGCATACCATCTTTTCTGGTGTGAGAACGAATTTGCGTGTACAACGTGGTCTATCCGTAGGTGAAGGAGTTAAAGAGTTCTCGTCACACAGCTAGCCCAGACGATGAGTAAATTTCTACTGTTTAACAATGCTACAATTAGCTACAGTTTTTTAAAAACCATCAGCAAGCTGATTGAGAGAGGAGACCACTTTATCTACAGCATCGTAACATATTGTTATTTCATTGATGACTTTGATCTATCTTTAATAACGATGATGGTAGGAATCTGCAAACCAGCTACAGTGTAAGAATCAACAGTAATCGATAGTCGGCGGTTCGTTTTCTGGGGTCAGCGCAGGCTTTCGGTAAAATTCTACCTAGGTGTTAGCCTTGGATGTTTTCTTTTAAATAATTCGCTGCAGTAAGAGTTCGTACTTGTTTTCAACCGCCACAGATAACGGAATCTCGATCCAGATCCGACTGAACTCCTTGTCAAACCATTAGATGAAATTCGTTAAAGGCTGTTCGTGGTTAACAAATGAAGTGAACGCAAGTTCACATGTAGAAACACGTCCTTTTAAAGTTGGGAGGATCAACACTGAAATCTATGTACACTGTCTGACGTTTCAGTAACGCCGTGGTGACATGCGAAAAACGTTCGTCCTCAAAAGACTCGATGCGGATCAGTGAAGAATCTCTCAGTTCTCTCCCGCTTAACCCCATTATGTCCATCTTAGAGAGGGCAAATACCATAAATAGATATAAAGGCTTATGCTAAGAACTCGGTTTCTTATGTTTTGTGTAGCAAATTCTAGAGCGGATTGACGCGATCGGCCGGGAATTGGGCTATTTTTGATAATGCTTGGAGATGGATACTCCCTCATGGATACTCTGTCATAGTAAAAAAGACGTGTTGTCCAAAGTAACACAACGCGTCACTCCATGCCCGGCGCTTAGTTCCTCAAAATAGGTATTAATGTACCGACTCAGGTAGACTTGCTTAAGTGCTGTCTGAAGAGGAACCTTTCATTTATCCTCCCCAACTTAATGCTAGCATCTTGAAAAGCAGTTCCACTTCCTTTGAAAAATAAATTGCCTAGAAAGAGTATTTATTTTCAATGGAATTAGAAATTAATCCAATAATACGTTTTGACAGTGCTTATTAAGCTCAGCTAAATTATCAAACAAATCTCCGTACCAGGCCATTCTAACAAATTAAAGTGGCAAACTATTGGGATGCTGGAAGAGGGACGATCTGTAAGCCGTTCGTTTACACTTACGGATGATAGCCATCAGTTTTCCAGAAATAATATAATTCATCTCGCTGTTGTCGTAGTCATTTAACTTAAAATAATACTCACTGAAAACAACAGCAGAGTGGAAGGTAGCGAACTACGGGGAGGATTTTTCAAGTTAAATCTGTAAAGTGCTGCAGGCTTTGTGTTTTAAATGCAACAAATCTCCTCACACAACTTAAACCAGCCTTGCTTCCAGTAAACAAATTACAGCATCGTGTAAATGCTCTGCACCAGCTGCTTCTGAGTTTAGTAACACTTTCACCTCCTCCTGTTTAACAACTACAATAAAAAGTGAAACCGTTATTCAAATAATTTTGTTTCTGTTTCGTAGTCTACTATCGAGAAAACGTGAAGGACGACACAATGAATAACTGTTATTGTACGCAATTCTAAACTTTATGGATCTCCTAAGTGGTGGGAGAAAAAGATACTACACCAGCACCAGCCGTTTGGCCATGGTCTTCTGAATTACTTCTGGTGCAATAGCACCGAACTATTAATACTCGGTTGGGATGATGTTATATGCAGATATCGCAGCACCCGTACGACAGGATTGGTTACTGCGAATCAGTTTCTTCTGCTAAATACATTCCGCGAAGTCGTGGGCTAAAACTTAGGAAACATTCATTGTAATCACATGCAAACACAATGTTTAAGTCTCTATCATAGTAATGATTGGCGCTCCTTCTTAGCGGCTGTGCTTAACAGTGACAAGATATCTTCTCGGATCTGATGAGTAGTGACTTTAAGGAAATGTTCAATATAATTTGTACATTTCTCCTAGATCCTACCTGATAGTGAAATTTCTGGGAGTATTGAAGCAAAAGGAAGGATTTAGGTGGTGGCACTCGCAACTTATCATTTCTGTTAACAAACCTGATGGGGTTGGATGATAACGCGGGCGGATGATTAAAATTTGGATTTTAGCAAATGCACATCGCGCCAACTTACTAGTTGTACAGAACGATATCGGGAGTCCAGATCAATTTGGGTGGAATGCGCACCTCACGGATGTTAGTGAAATTTGCGGGGTCCCAACGCAACAACTGATCAATCCAAGTCTGGAAGAAAGCAGTAAGACATTGTTTTGTATTTTATTGTCGCTTGCCTGAAAGCGAAAAACTTGCATTTAAAGCCATACGAAATATGAGGTAGAAAAGTAAGAGCATTTCAGAAGAAGAATTGTTAAAGTTGGGTGACATAAATATGCAGCATCGTCCGTGGCTGCTAGCCCGCCGCAGGACACAAGCAAATGAGACCAAGGGTGCCCTAGTATGCTCAATGTTAACGGTGAAACTATTCCAAACAGTAGTCTCGGTAATTGGTGCCTAGAGTAACGCAAATGCTGTTGACATCAAGTAGTCAATGTACAAGCGATGTATGCGTTAAATACGGGAATTCCATACAATATCTATACATCTAAAGACTAATGATAGCGCACATTTTATGTCAAGTTTTAACTTATAAACTCTAGCGGAAACGTCTATTAAGTTTACCAGCTCGCTGTCAAAGTTGTTGCTGAACTGGGTCATTTTTACTGCCATCATACATAGCGACATCAGATTAAAACACGAGCAAATCGATCGAATTGCTGGAACAGATAAACAGACTTTTTCTCTGTCGTTAGCACCGGCAGTTTCTTTTTGGGGAGTCTGCTGTGCGCTTGGATGAACTTTTCAGGATAACTATTTGCAATCAAGGTCCTATGCAGAAACCTCTCTTCGGCTTCCAGTGTATCCGGACTATAAATACGTCTGGCCCTGTAGAACAGCGTTTTCACTAGGCCGCGTTTGTATGCAACCAAGTGCGACAGGAGCACATTAAAGAAAAGTTTTTCAGGTGCTAAGGTAACAATGCTGAATCTCTTTTGCTGCGTAGAATAAAATTTGCGAAATCACATCTTCTGTTCGACCAGGGGTCAAAGACTGCCATATAAATGTACAAGATGCGTTTACGTTAGCTTTGCAATCAGCAGTATGCATACGCATTGACAACCAGCTTTATGCTTCTTGACGGAAAACGTATGTAGGACGGAAGTCCTGTGTGTTATCCATTCGTTTATCACTAGTGTGCTTAAATTGTCAGTTACATCTGTTGACATTATGGCAATTACAGAAGAGTAGTAGGGGGAGTTGAATGGCAATTAATTGTACGTTTAGCCGCACGTTATAAATAAACCTACCTAAGATTTCCTAATCATTTGAACACAGTGGGAAAGTTTTCACTGTAGCGCATCTGCAGCAATGTCTTTTACGGCCAACCTGGAGCAGTATGCTGTTCAGCATGGTCAAGAACAAGGCACTGAGCACACCTTAGGAGAATGGTAGCGATTATCGGTAGTGGCAACGGCTTTTATTGTAAGCTTTTTTCACAATGGTCTCGAATGTTCTTGGTCCTTCGAATTAGACGGAAAAACGTAATAAAAGTCAATCAATACTTAGATCTTGGACGTGGTTCATTTAAAAATTCGACTCAACCATGTGTCTTCAGAGGTTTTACGCGCATGTATCGCAATACCTGGAATACCATGCTCAAGTCAGGCAGCCCTGGCAAAAGCACGACCTCACCGCGCCCGAGAGTGTACACTGTAGGACAGTCAAACATGCTAAATAACTGTTCTGGTTTCTATAACAACATAAAGCGAAGGCCTTATGATGGCCAGCGGACCTTGGCAACGCATGCACGACGATTACATGAATTTGTCATCACTTAAGAATCCACTGACCATGCTTGCTGCCATGTAGTAAAGGTCAGATGTAACACAAACCTGAGGGGCCATCCGCTTAAAATGCGCACGCATTAACTGCCGGATGGAGTGCCAATGGTCTAATTGCTTTTGGGGAGTGCCTCAGTTGTGGAACGCTTTTCCTTATCGTGTTACCTCTGTTCCCACTGCAATCAATTTTCTATTCAGGTAACGAATAGACCACACAATAACACATTTACGACACCTGACATAGCTCAGCTCATCGGGTGGAGACATAAATGCAGAACAGACAGCCATCTATCAAACAGAGTAATGAGGACTTACGTATGTGCTTATGTGAAACACTTGGTGAGACCAGTACCAGAGGCTGTAGTTTATTGACACAAAGATTCTACCTTGTGTTGCACCCTTATGAAACCTACCAACCATTTGACGGCTAATCATAAAACCATAGGACACAGTTTCCACAAAATATGGTCACTAAATTCGCATCTACACAGCGGTATGCGATCAATAAAAACACTGGGAATGCATTTAACATTTAACCAGTTTCTCCGACTGGAGTGTATTCTTCCACCCTACATATGTACGCATGCCGTGGAGCAGTTTTTATAAATATCAAACGCGCTTCAATCTTGCTTGCTCCGCAAAGTGATGGTATTGATCACCTCTCCAAAGATACCGTCGAACACACAATAATCTCTAAAAAAGAAGATTATCCGCAAGACTCCGAAATACTTGTGAGTTTAACTGAATATAAGTTTGGTCGAATTTAACACCAGATCCAAACATGCGCGGTTAACGCGACAAAAATTAAAGAACATATGGCCCTACGAACAAGCTCCAAGGCGAGGGAGGTTGTCAAATTAATGCGTCATAGAACCATTGACAGCTGTCTTGGATTTTTGAAATTATTGGCGGGGTGGATCACTCACTCCATGACCCAGCTACAATCTGTGAAATATTCCGTGACTAATTTGACACCTCCAGGACTCTTACAGTTGACCAGATACATGCGAATACAGGGCTTTCAATAATTAATCTCTTGAGCAGAGTTAATACGTCGATCAACGATATGCACCAAGTTAGTAAGCCATCCTCTAAGATGAGATCAGATGGCGTTTCATCAAACGCCATTAAACTAGTAGTGTCTAATATACCACGGTTCTAGCGGAACATTTTCGTCCTATTGCATAAATGTAGCCTCTTTCCACATCGAATGAAAACGTCGTTTATCAAGTCGCTACACAATAAAACCCAAACAAACGATTAAGGACTACCGGCTAATGCACGACACTTTAATAATTACCTGTTTGTTTACAAAAATAAGTTAAAATTTGGCGATGAAATTCATCAATCTGTTGGGTCTGGTAAATAACTCGCAGTACGGTTTTCTTGACAAGCGACTGTGCAGCACATGTCAATCGCATTATTTGAACTACATTACAGAATCTATCGATTCTATCTATGCAATAATAAATCTACTTCCGGCCATACACCAAGAATTTGACCTAGTAACTCATAAGCGGTTGATATAAAAGTTGGTGGCCTCTGGGTCCAGGACCCATTACTAAGTTGGGCGTTGTCACATCAGGTAACTATTGTTCTTATCCACGCCCCATCACCAGCGGGGTCACCAAGGGAACGCGCTTGGTTCTTCACTTTTCCAGCTCTATTGCATTGACATCATCACAACCATAGAATATGAGTAACCGTTTTATTCGCAAACGATACCAAGGTTGTCCACAAGCATTGGCGTGATGAACTTTACGTAACGCTGCTGCGCATTCAATATGACCTGTATTTCTTTGAGGTAAGATGCCACGAATGGATGACGGACCCATGGGTTAAGAAACAAAACATCGTATCGTACAACTGTTCTGTCCCCGAAAGATGTATTGCACTGTGCAATGAACATGTTCCTACACAAATGTTCTAGCGCAATATCGGAGTTCAGTATGCATCTACGTTCACTTTACCCGAACAGGCCCAATATTAAGTAGCACGTGCCAGACAACCTGTGTTTAACATATTCAAACAAATCCACACCAACAATGCGAGTTGAGCTTTTTAAGCTACTCAATTGCTTCATCTCTGTGTACTGGAAAATAATATACGGCAATGTGAGAAAGGGACAGAATTGCTGTGGAACACCTGCGGAGGTCTTTTATTACATATCTGGTTTGTAAGCACACTGCCGTGAATTATCGAGAGCGTTTCAACAAACTTTAATTCAAACCACTTTACATGCGACGATTGAAACATAACTTGTTGTTACGTTACAGTCGGCCACACAGGAAACCTTATCCAGATCTGCCTAGGTTAGAATTACAATACAGTTCAACAGCAGAACTTCTAATCAAAGCCTGGAACAAGCATTCGTTCAAATTTCTTCTTCGCCAGATACAGCTGTCTGTTGAATAAACTGCCGGTTGCACTCAGGTACTATAACAATGAGGCAACACTTAATAACAAACTTTCAAGTTAACTTGACTACGATACCATAAAGAATGTATTCACATAGGGACATTTTCTCGATTAGCTATTAAAAGGGAGGAAAAAGCACTTAAATGCCCATTTGCCCAAACCTTGGTTTTCTGCTTAGCTATCCATCGAAAAGTTATTTCATGAATCCCATGCTCTAATACGGTATAAATGCATATCGCATATGTAGCCGAAAGGACGCTACAGACACAATTCCTTGGATCATGAGAAATATTGGTATTATTATTAATGTGATTAGCACAAATCTAACGTTTTAGTACCCAGGTAAATTTGCCAACCACGGCCCGGTGACACCTGGTCCAAAGATTCAAAATTAGGCAGTGAATTTCCGAGAGCAACCTTAGCAGCAGCGGCAAACTATGTCACCTTGTGTTCTTATTGGCACTCAATAAGTCTCTCATCGTGTTAGCTGGTTCTTTAGTAATCTTACAGTTAATAGTTAAGGTTTTTGTTCATGATGGAGCCCAAATCAGCGTTTGACCGTTGCTAAATTCTGAGTAACCAGTGAGGAAAGATTTCTATAAATATCCTCTCTAATCCCCTGAGCTTAGTCAGATTAGTGTCCTGAGTAATCTGAACAACTAATCAAATATCCAGACCTTTCAACCTTTCGGTAGATGGCCTCTTATTAATTGATCAGCATTTAAACATTTCATGCCATACACACGTATATTATGATGGTTTGGACGTCATGTACCGAGTGGTTTTGTTTTTTCTGTCACAAAGAATAAAAGCAACCTAGAAGTGTTAGAAGCTTTCATAACAAGTTTCCTTATATTTGCAACATGGTTGTTTCACCTATCACATTGATAACCAAAGTATTTACCTTGTTTGCGAATTCTGGTGACATTACTTGCTTGAGTTAGCTCCAGTTTATCGTTAGTTAATGGAGTGTGGTATATGCTGTCCGTAGCTTGGAGCAAATGATGCAAGGAGTCAGACGGATCAAACGTCATAGTATAGACGTCACAACTTACCGGTTTCGCGTACGCTTGACCCTCACCGGACAGATGGAATACGTACTAATAACAAGTATCGAGGTAACGAAGTGGCTTCCCCAGAAATGTGGAAACCACTGTAATCAGAGTGACTGACGAATCTCCTTTTTAATCTAGTTGGTCACTAAAAGCATTCCTGTGGTCGGCGCTGAGTGATACGCTTCTTACTACTTATAGGCAGTAACTACACCATGGACTACTGATGAGCAATTCGCGGAATCAACGTGAAGTGTGTTGTTCTTTTTGAGTTGCACTTCTATGCACGCAGCTATTGACGTGCAATTAAACAAATGTACCTAAGTGTTAACTAAAATGATTGGAACCTCATAAATTCTGCAATAGGACTCTGTTTCTACTTTTACTGTGAGCTCTGATTTCATGTGGATTGGCCTATTCCACGGTTGCCTCTGATTAATAGGAGCGGATCAAAGTTTGTCTAGCTCTATCAACTAATCAACCGACCTATTAAATCCTGGACAAGGTGATTGAGTGGTTGGTCAAGTATTAAACCACAGCTAACTCAAATGTTAATACATTCGGACCCATGAGCGACTGCCTATTCTAATGCAAGTAAACAACGGTAGTTTTGAAATCTAACAGTCAATGATAGCTGTAAGGTGCTAAATAAGCTCAGAGTGTGGTCTTCGACACATGGCGGTCGTAAGTTATGTCATAATACTGAAGCACAAATTAATTTACCAGATGATGTCGTTTACCTTATGCTAGGGTCGTTCCGACATGAAGGTAGCCAAATGCGATGGGCAAGCTCCAGTAAGCAATTGACTTGTACTTTAGTTCATCTACTACTTTACATATTTAAACGAATTATGAATACGAATCTGCACACACTGCTTCTCTTGACCGAAGCTGATTGTATGCACATTCGTTTTTATTAAAAATACGCTTATCCAATGTGGCATCTTTATCAGGGCAAGCTAAATGTGTGGGACTACCGTATTGAACGATTTCCAGTCTCTAATGGTCTACACAGTACCACACAATCAAATCGACTGGGTTTTACACTAGTTAATCGGTTATAGTGTAGCTTGGCTAAATACCTACACGGTCTGCTCATACATGGTTGCCATAAAACATATAAAAAATAGCAGCTTTGTGTTGATTGGTTAATAATTCTGAACATCTCATGGTTGCCTCCGGGTGACATCACATTACGATTCAGCCAACCAGCGATACAGCACCTACATAGATAGAGCTTTAATAGCATTAAACTGCTAGAACGGGAGCTGTTGGGTAGGCAATTACTCACGTATTTAGCCCAGACATTGATGGTCAACACTTGATCCTTCTCGTTAAATTCCAGCAGCTGGAACGCAGATAAGCCATAACCGACAACGACCGTCTCTTTATTATTCTTCACTGGACGTCCAATTTTCCCAACCTTTTCGTAGTTGTTTATAAGCTGTTTGATTAAAATTTTCTCAGACGAAGGCGTCACTGCTTCTGAGACAAAGGGTGGGGAGGGAGGCGAAACCGTAGTCATTTGGAAGGAAGAATGGTTTGAGATTATGATGATGATAGTAGTCCCAACGGCCGTAGCTTATCTGAGACTAAGTGGGTTTTTGAGCACGGTTTGATTTAACAAGTCCATGGAACAAAATAACTATCATTAAGGTTACAGTAAATTCTTACAAGATATAGGTCATGTTAACCAAAAGTAACAAACTGTATTGTGTTTATTTTCCGCGTCGCTGCCGGAATTACATTTTATTAAGTACCTGTACCGAGCATTTTGCACTAAAACCTAACAATTGGCGTTGGGTGATATACTGCAAATCACTAAAAGTAACAGATTTTGAAACAATATGCAAGAAATAAATTTTAAGAAAGAGATGGGCACTGCATCCTTTACGAGGCCGAGACATTTTCATACCCATCTAACTGAAAGCCCATCTTCTCCCTTTGCGACTTCGACTGCTTGTTGGGCCATTTTGAGCATTTGTTGCTGGTAATTCCCATTAAAATTCCAATCAATATCGTTGCTTTGAAATGGGTCGTCTAGTCAGTAGGCAATGGAATGCCTGGCACTTAGCGTCCCTTTTTTCTTTTCCACTTTGTGGTTCCCTTGTTAAACCACTAAGTTGCTCAGCTGCATTCTGCCCAAGCAACGCTTCCATGTCACCTTCGTGGCTGAAAGTGAACGGACTCAGTGAACGTAGCTTTACTTTTATGTGAAATCCAAAGTTATTTTATTCCTAACTGGATCTTAAATAATCGATAGTGGAAGGCTCCTGTGAAAGAATGTGTCTTAGAAAATAGTTTCGAAAAGCTGTCCTCCTAATAGTTTGATCATGTGACGTAATTGTGTTAAAGTATAATGGTTCCATTCGCTAACGTTTTCAAAACATAGCTTTTGTCTCAACCATCGACCAAAATGCTATTGAATGAATCCGGTGTCCAAATTTTCCTCATATGCATGTCGTCCAAGCAAGACTATGGTTTGTTTTATACATTTAGATCTGTGCCACCACAGAGAAGCTTTCACGGAGCGTGAGCAAAATATGCCTTATTATTTACCTAAGTAGCTGTGATGCTGAACAACTCGTGTGGCGTTAGTTCGGACGATTTTATGCATTTAAGAATGCACAATAAGGTACGTTGATAAAGTTTGGTTCCAGTTCTGTGTTTACAATGTTCTACTTTGGCAAACCACAGAAAGAAACTTCCAGAGAAGCAAATCACTGCCATCTCGCCTAGTTGTACAGTAAATAAGGCATGCAATTGCAAGGTGTTCTGCGCTACCCAAAGGCATGTGACGATTTGTCTCCTATCTAGCTGAATTGATTAGGCAGTTATAGCTGGATTTGAAGCCAGAGGCTGCGACAAAGTGGTGGATGTCCGAAACCACTATAAACAGAATATTGTACTCCTGGGGTAACCCGATGGTTAGCAACAGCGAAAGATGTCTCCAGCTGGAATGTTATGGTCTGAATGCGCAGGATTACCGAAAATTATTTCAGAATGTCGGCTTATATTTATACGATATGTCGCGGGTCTACACACTGTAAAATATGAAAGTATTAAAGGACTTTTAGCGGCTGGAACAGGCATCGTTCGTAGTGTGTAGTGGTTTAGAGCCAAGGTGGTTGTTATAAAACTAGCATGTTTTAAGTTTCACTTCTAACTTGTGTAGCAAGTTGATGGAAAAATTGATCGATGAGTGGACAATGGACAGGTAACAAAAGAATCCATCATCTTCTTGGATTCAATGCGAGATATTATCATCATTTTGGTGACCTTTCTGTATTCATGTTAACACGCTTTCAACATTACCTTCATATGTTTTCCAAACTCACAAATATTTGAAATTTGAAGTGCAGAATGCATTTTATAAAAAAATTAATGTGTTTCGCATTGTTAGGTATTTAACGACACTTGGATATTTCACGATTAACCTGAATCGTTTGTTTAAGAAATAACAACAAACAAAAGCACTGTAATTCATGCTAGAGTCATGGTGTAAGCGCTACAAGAATAATGGTCAATATATAGTGAAAATTGCGTTACTCTCCTTTAAATTGAGCAAGCTGGAAAAATTGGGGAGCCTCAAAGAAACGCCATAAAACCTTTAATGATCTTGTTAATCTGTTGTAAAGTTGCATCTACATCGAAAACTGATAGGCCAACTATCTACTCTAATTTCTACCGGTGTAACTTGACGCTGCGGATGGTTCACGTAACAGTGCCGAGCCAGTATAACTACTAAAACAATCTTCAGTTTGAATCTCCTATGCTCCATAGATGGACATGTACAATCGTAATACGAACTTTTTCCGATTACTTGATAATACGACAACCATTTCACACCTGTCATATTTAACTTCGTATTTCTTCTTTCAATGCCGCATTAAATCATCAACTCCTACAATTTACTACACTTGAATGTTTGATACGGTTTGTTTCTACTGGAACCCTAAGAACACATTTGATACACTGTGTCCAGCAGAGTTAATCGCTACACGCTTGCGTTAAGAAAGCCCTTACTCAAGGAAATGATGATGGTACATTGTATACACATGGTCGATTCGATTTATAACTTAGGAGTCTTGTCCCAGAAAGATAATGCAAACAGCTAAGTAATGACACCTTACAAACAGTCGGATAGAGCGAAGTTTCCAAAGCACTCCGTATTAACAGTGTCAGTAAAAGGTAAACGGTTGTGCTTATCCAAACCAACAGGGGAGCTCAGCATATAATTTATACGATTGCTACAAATTTTTACCAGCCATAAACTCATTGAGGAACACTATAGACAAAAGGTGATGAATGTACTTATTTGTAAAATAGCACAACTCTGGTGTGCATGGGCTACCTTCACCTTACCATCAATAGCAAAATGTACCCATTCGATTAAATATCGGTATAAGTGAAAGACACTCAATGTTAAAAGAAAGTGCTGATAAACCACGAACTTCGGGAGTAAATCTTCTGGAAATTGTCATTTACTTTACAAAGGGCAATCTTAAGCGAATTAATAAAATTTGTTTAGCTGAAACTGCATAGACAGATATTTCAATTAGAATTATGTATGATATCTAAAGTCTGGCAAATAAATAATATTTTGCACTTTGTAAATGGGATTGATCTCACGCTGTTTGTTAAAGATTAGTGGTCAGATCACTGGCTTCGTTAAATATCAAAGCAACTGAAAGGCTTTAGTCATACTTGAAATCCTGTGAATGGCATTGTATTCATAACGCAAATACATTCATTTTCGAATCAGATAGTCCACACCGATTTGACAATCAATAAATACTGATATACTAATTGCATAAGGTGAAAGGTCATGTGGCTGCACATTTCTGAATTATGCATAATCACTTATTAACTATATCAAATGTTGCCACATTCCTATGGCCAGCACAAGTAGTTAAGCAGGCTTTGAAGGCGAGCTTTTCCGCATCGTTATATCAAGGTTTGATAAAAAGGAGGCTTTTGCGACTAAGCTAACTAGAAGAAGAAGGAAATACATTAATGCGAAACGGTTGGTGAATATTAGGCGAGATGACCAATGGAGCAGGACCTGCAAGATAAAATGCTAGGGGCTGGCAGCAGTGAGCACGGGGGGGGGGCTAGCGAAACAACTGCACCATGATCAGTATAAGCGACGCTAAAGTTGGAAGTCAACTTCCTACTGAACGGTTCTTTTTGCCATGCTTCTTCCTTATACTGTTACTATGCTGTCGCATTACACTAGCTTTATCTCAGAGGCACTCATTATAATCGGAATACCGTAATTAGACATAGAACAGAACCGCAGCAATGCTGAAGTCGAAATAGTCAATCCACTGAACATCAGCCGTTTTCAGTGTCCCTCATGGTTCATGGGAAAAAACAACTGCTATTGATGAGGTTAAGCTATGAGTGAGCTTTGCCTAAGCGCTTGAACAGAAGGAACTCAAATTCTTACCAGATGTGTGCAACCTTAAAAACTGCGCATACTGTTACTTGTATGCTGAGTGCACTTGAATTGTAAAGAAGTCGACAGTAGCCCAAACAGACTGCATCCATACTGTAGTTGGAAGGATACAGTGTATTTAGGAAATTAGTTATTCCTGTCTAAATACTGCAAGACCTGTTCTAAACCTATCATGACTTACGGTTCAACTGTAGGGTGATATTAATGTTAACCAATATCGGAAAAATGATTAAATATATATGAATCCATTTTGACGTTTGCCCACTGGACTTCACATAAAGAAACTATCACTAATGTTTTATATGGGACTGCTAGGACATAAAAGCTGCAAGCAGTTACTAATAACACACCAGTTAGCCTGAAATAACGGTGTCGAAGTGACAGGCAAGTTACACCACCAAGATTAGATTAAAAAGGGCGTTATTTCGGAGCAGATTGTATAAATGTTCGCCTTTGGAATGAAAGAAGGGTAAGTTGAAAAGCAATGGTTAAATGTTCACAAAAAGCAAAGCCATTATAATAAGCATAGAAGTATAAGTTATATTTCTCCTTCGTAATTAACTTAATGACTAAAAGTTTAATATTCTCTATGCACACATCAAATCCACATACACACGCACAACAATTAGTTGGTGAAGGAATTCAGTTTAGAAATCGAAGGCGACGAATCGGAAATTGATGCAACTTTCTTAACAGAAATGCGCGCTCCACCTACATTTGTTCTGTTTTGTTTTAATAACAAATAAAAAGAAAAGCAGTGGCGATGGAAAATAAGAAAAGAATTGCCTCAAGCCCATGTCAAGTTTGTCAGCTGGCATCACACGTTGCTCATTCAGATGTACACAGGATGTATAAGTATTGCTTCGAAAAATATAGTATCGTTAAGGTACATACAAAAGCAAGCGTAACATTTATTTCATTTACTCTGAATCTGATTATCCCCACCTCTACGGAGTGTTTATGTCCTATTAAAATAACCTAAAAAATAGATTCCACCATATCAGACCACAAAAGTATTTGAGAAGTGCCCAACACATATATAATAGTAGTCAAATTCTTTTGTCGTACTTCAAAATGAAATTCATAATTTGTATAGTACTTTCGGTTGCTCCTGTTTTTCTGATATCATCCGATCCATGGTTTCCATTCTATAAACTCTAATGTGGTGATCGTCTGCATGTCCCTTTGACTACAGAATTCATTGGCTTTAGCGAAACACTACGTGAAATTACCTGGTATTCACTATATGCCCAGTCTACTGGTGATTTGTTCGTATGCTTTGCGATCGATTGCACAAAAGAAACCAGGCTAGCACACATCCGTCGCGTGCTGGTCAAGTATTGCGCCCACGCCTGACAAATTTAGCATACGATTGCGGTTCATTGCCATAGGGGTGAAATTAATCGAATGCATCGGTGCATATTGACAACTATCACATCTCATGCAGCCCAAGCTTCACAGGTATCGTCAACAACGACGGCTGATACGATTTGATGGGCAATAAGTGAAGTTGTTTAGAGGAACATTTGTTAACTAATCACTTAAACTTGGCTAATAGAATCCATAAATGGTCTCGTGCATTTTGTGCATGTGGCATGATACTGTAAAATGATTGCGACTTAGCAGGAAGCGATCCCAAACCGTTGTGCCGCTAAGGGCTCACGCAAACGCTTCAAACTCTTGAATTCGATTTTTGCGCTTAGCCCATCTTTTTGCACAGCTAGTGGCGTAGTACCATGGCGGAGGACAGCTATTTCAGAACTACCATTGACAGGAACTGCTTAGTCAAGTAATGACTGGATGCCTGGTTGAGGATTGGCCAGACCCATTTATCGTACCAGTTACCTGACTGGTCAAATAACACTGATGAACATATGGCATCATGTTATTGCTTCGATTGGTAAAGGATATCGGTGGGTATTTAGACGATCATAGTAAAAAGATGTACCGCATGTTCCTTGTTTTCTGGAAAGTTAAAACTAGTGCGAAACAATCGCTCAACTAGGAGTGCAAAAATCGGATGCCTGCGACTTAAATCACTATGTTCGCACAGCTAGCACGCCATAATGGATAATTTTCACTTGAAATCCTACCGGCTTTTTTGTTAAAGGTAAGTGTTTGTCAAAGAATACTGAATTTTGTTACGAGGTTTTGTATGGATGCGTCTCGTTTCTCACTATTCCTACTGCTGTGTCACGTAAGTGTTCCTGTTAGCATACTCCAGCCATGATGGCTGGCTGACAGAAGCATGTAAAATTCTCGTACGACGTCTGTGGCTCCTAAACGCTAGAAGAGAGAGCTTTAGGAAATTGTGGTCTTTCGAGAAGCTATACCGTTTTAGCGGTAAGGTGTGTTGCCTTGTGATTGATTCTGGATGAAAACAGGGAGGTCAGAAGTATGGACGCGGAATCTCGTCTGCAAAACGTTTTAATGCAGAACAAGTTGAGTGCTTGCTTGTGTTTCGCATCACTGCTTTTTTTCAACCCGGACATTCGTAGAAAGTGAGCGATTTGCACCATAACCCACAAAGCAGCACAAGGTCTAAATCGGTCAAAGTTCCAAGTTACATCCCATTGGTCCCGGATTTGATGCCTGCCAGCTTTACCTGACGAGATCATATAAGCTCAAAACTGGTCACGAAGTACAATGTTTTGGGGCGAGCAACACCCAATGTTTACCTGCCTTATTAATTATGGTCCCTAGTGATGGAATTGATCAAGTGAATTGTGGTCCACCTTGAGATTGTGCGTCGCAATCCATTTGCCCAATACAGGCTTCAGTATGATCTGCCATACAAGGGTTTCATCTAGTTGTTGACTAAATATTTTCTCGACTGCACCGTTCTGTACTTTGTAGATGGCACTTCAATAGAGTCACGACGATTTATGATAACAGCCTTTTTCTTTAGTGAACAGGGGGATTCGATTAACACCGTCCATGTAAGCGATTGTTAAAATGCCGGCACCACGATGCTAGCAGTGTGGTTCGGCACGAAATTGCTTCCAATCATTTTGTACCCAGCAAAAATAGCTTGATGGCAGGTTGACAAAGTTCCCAGTAAGAAAGTAATGGTCAACCACCATAATCCACTGCTTTGAAACTGCGGTGGAAACATATTGTGGCCTTATCCGTTACTATCACCAATGGATATTTTAATTTCATATGGGAAGCTAAAAGAGTTTTCCAAAGTCGGCTTGTATTGGGTCAAGTAACGAAAACTTGCGGCACTACCTGTGGAGTAACCAAGCGGTATTGGTTTGTTGATTATATTCTTAGCTGTAGCAAAATTGATTTGGGTGTTACTATCTCCAATCCATAACACTTTTGGAAACCTTAAGTAAACTGGCAATGGAAAATCGAACACACCAGACAAGCGGTAACTGGCTGTGACCAGGCTAGTTTACTGCACAAATAGGGCTTATTAGTACAAGATCCAACACGCAATAAAGCTATCTATTGTGAACGGTTCTGAATAAACCACAGTCCCAAAAGCGCCTAATAACGATAATCCGAGTCAGCATTGTCAGGTTACTATGCTTAAAACTGTAAAAGCGCGACCTTAACCATTTTTCATCAACTGGGGATCTTCGACTGCATAGTGGTGAACCAAGCGTCCCATAACGCGTACGCACAGCAATCGGCCGATGTATACACTATACTACAGATGTAGATGGAGGCTTTCAACGTCTTGAAGTATGACTGAAACCGAACTACGCAGATTAATGTATTAGCGATAGCCATATTTCAAAGCTGAAATGTTAGAGTAAACACCATATAAATTATCCAAGGCGGATAAATTGGTTTCAAAGGTCTAGAAGTTCGATAACTCACTCAGTAAACTGCTTGAAAGGAGGACTACAATCCACATCCAGGTGAGATGACAGGGCATGATCGAAGTCAACTTAGGGGATTTCACGAATGCATATATTACGGCGATTTTACAACCGTCCGTTTCATACCCATTTGTTAATGTGGACGCAGCTTTGAAGATGCATTCATGTAGTGACTAAAGTCATTCAACACCATTGGTCAGCTTAGCTGACCAATGAGATAGACCGATTTCTGCCCTACTGTGGATTCACCGTGTTCGCTACAGTGACAATTTCATGCTTGAAAAACACAAAAATAGCTAACAAGTAGAGACAGATGTTTGAGACATCTTTTAATCCCAGTCCACTCCAACGAGCCACGCTGGGCAGCAATGGGTGACGGCAGATCAAGGAGGGGAGTAAGTCTCCCTAAGGAATGCACGCCGCATGCCACTCTTGCTGGTGTGCAACCAATTTGCACTCAAGATAACATTTCCCTGGCTTTGTCGCACTGGGTATTAGTAATCGGTGTTCACATTTTCTTTCGGAAAAAACAAAGCAGTTGATGCAATTTCCCATTTTATAGCAGAGAACTGTGAATTATCAAATAAAAAGCTTAGCTAACTTATGATTCTTAATGTGTCCATGGCAGCGGCAACTATTAGTTCGGTGCGCGAAACCGCGAGCGCCGCCAGATTTTAAGAAATATTAACAACTGTAAAGAAAAAGGGCAGGATTCATGTCCCCAAATTAGCGGTTTTCCCTTTCAAAACTGATTGCTAACAGTTATGACGATCGTTCTCATTAGAGCAAAAGCTGTTAGATGGTAGATGTTTCCACTGGGCAACCACAAGCTTCCGCTAAGGAAGCACTTACACCCACTTTATGACAATGCCACCACGATTGGTGATAAAACGTTTTCAAGTAAACTTTTCAGCTCGGCGAACAAAGCATCTACGAAACATCCAACCCAACTTACCAGCATTTCATCTGTATCCGATACTGTCTTTAGTGACAGGAATTACCATAGCTCTCATTAGGGTAAATAATACTTCACAACCGATTCACAAGTTGTTTTTTATAACTGAAGAACAAAATGACAAGTATTGTTGCAACAACACCTTCTTAATGGTTTGGGGTATACGATTATTTGCAATATATGTACCGCAAATTTAAGAATCCTATAGGGGCGGAAGAGAGTTTGTGCTGTAAGTTTAGATGTGAGTAATGCCCATTAAATATGTCTCAATCTGTGAATAGGAGATCAAAATGAACGCATCTTACGGAAAGCGAATCGTTGTTGAAGTCCATAACTTGGGTGGCGCTCAGAAACCCAGCATTTTTAACGGTAGCTATCATCACTTGTTCTTGCAAGTACCTCCGATGTTTACTAGTTTTCAGAGAAAATGTTAACGAAGCTAACCGGCTGATACGACTACTTCTTGGATACAATATATCACTAGCTTAGAGCATCTTATTTCAATGAGGGCAACAGAAATCTCCTAAACTGGGCATAATCAGCCAGGGGCAAATTGCGTTACATTTATTCAGTGAGTGGCGATAAGCAAGTCGTCTCCTAATCACCCACAAGGAATTGGCAATATGACTCATCTATGATACTTCAGTTCCAAGAACTTTTACCCTTGAGTTATCGTAGTTGTTTCAAGAAGTATCTGTCACCCAGCTTGCCAATACCTGTAGAATGCAGAGTTCCACAGCTTTTTAAGTGTTATTTACCGTTCGTCAGCCAAGGACACCTTCACACCTGGGTATTTATTGTTAACGCAAATTCATATACCCATGTATAATGTGGATGAAACAAATGCTAGCTTTGCACTAGTCAAACGAGGTCATAAAACACCACCCGCAAGATAGGCGTTTATTCCAACTGGATCTCAAACCTATCCATTAAGTTATGAACTTATTAAATGCACGCATCCATTCTGTACGTTTATGATGCACACTGAGGGAATGTTTGCTACTAGATTGTTAATACGATATCGCAACTAAAAACATTGAATCACGCTTATTTTGTGGCTGGAACCAATTATCGCATTTGCAACTTTCGTGAGAAACGCACACAATTTCATCGCCAAGAACAAAAGTTAGCACAGTAATCGTTTCAATTGATTGTATGCAAGGAATCACCAGGCAGCCCCAATTGCGTACCATAATCAACACTATTATGTAAGCTGAACCCGCTGAAGCAATACGCGGCATGTCTATCGCGGAGTGGCACACGTGATCACATAATTGCCGGTCGATTAGTTTCTGTATTAGTTTTGTGCCAGCGGAACTAGAAAGCCAACACCACAATTTGTTCACTAAAAGAGTTGGTCACACTGTCAAAAATTGAGTTCCGTATAAGCGATAACTAGTGTCCTAACTTTTGAACAGTTTTATCTGCCGCTGAATAACAGACCAGTCACCTTAGAGCCGAACACTTAGGGATACCTAATGTCATTGCTTCACATCACTTGTTTTTAATAACCTGCTATTATTTGGCCAGGTAAAACAATCGATGCCTTAGTAAGTTATTAGATTGGTTGTGTAGCGTCTATATGCATGACAGCACTAAGCATTGTATACATGTCATGGCAAGTAACTCATCCTGAAGAATAGCTTAGTAATTTCGCTGAAAACAGCTTTTACCTACAGAATTCAGTCGTTGAAAACCGACATAAATAGCCGAGATTTACAACTAGAATAACCACCCACGGGTCAGAGTCAGCCAACTTTTGGTCTTAGTGATTACTCTACGAGACGCGATTAACACAGAGCATAACCCATTTCAATCTTTTGTGTGTTCGAAAAATGTTCGATTCAGTCGTACCTTTACTCCGCTTCCCGGTTTCATGGTCGTGAGATGGCACAGTCCAACGATGTACAGTGTTTCGCAATATGAGACAACGCATTACTGTGTTTTAATCAAGCACTTTCGATTATTAAACATGCGCGTAGTTATCCTTTTTTATGTAACACGTAGCTATTTAGCTCAGTGTAGCAGCTTTCATATTATAAGAAAGTACAACAATCCACTTTTGCCTTCCCTGGGGTTGTCCGTAGTTCTAAAATCCCATCAAAATACGAAACTAGAACCCAAGACACAACCATTATATGTTGGAAACCAAACTTTTGAACCAAAGTACACGCTGGTAACTGATGTGACTGTATGGCAGTGGTCATCATCTATTCTTGTGCAGTAATTATGGTTAGAGCTAACCCAACCCCAGTAAAACCCAGGGTCCAGCGAATTCATAATCAACTGGTAACAAGCAGTCACCTACTTAGTAGATATCGAGCCACAGGGAGTAACAAACTAGAGCCCGCCGAGTCAACTGTGCATCGAAATATTGGTGAGTATGAACTGAGTGGGAATGTTCTTAAAAAGTCATGAAAATCGTGTTAATATTGCCTGACTGAACGTTGATCTTATCACATGGTCTACGAACACACAGCACGTGTACAACATTCACTTCATATGTTATCACGTATACTGCAACTGTCGTCTGTAATCATAATCTTGGTATCTACCATCTTGCACGGAGTGTTTCCTAAGGTTTGGTGTTAATCTCATTAATCCTCTCTACTTTACCAGTTTCGATTTTTCGAGCATAAAATCAAGCAATGATCCGGTAGACTCTTGTACATGTGTATTGTGCTGCAGGACAGTTAGGGACAAGCAAAATAGGTTCTATTAGCCACCGCAGTAAAATTAAGTTGATAGTACCTGGAATTGTCAGCATGAGAAATACTATGAATAATTTGCTTTAGATGTATATATAATTGACTTTCTATTCAGCAAATTGAAACGGAAGCGTACCGATCTGAGCTCTTGGCTAAGACTAGTAGATTCAGATTCTGACTCCAGTTTAGGGTTAGAAAATAAGCCGAAGCAAGCAATTTTGTTAATTTTCGTTCGAATGGCTAACTTGGTCTATACACAGTCGTTAACGTGAGTTACATTTCCACAATTCCATCCAGGGTTTAGAAGATAAGCATTCGGTTTGGATAATTTTGTAAAATTGGGTTGCGTTGGCACCATTTGTCACTGCACTACAGCGGGACAACGTTTCCAAAAATTTGTCTGCTTTTGTACATTTCTATCCCAAAGCAATTTAATGATGTGTGCTAAGTGGTTTTATCTCATGCCCCTTATCGATCCACATGCTCCTTCCTGTAACTGACCATGCATCAACCTGAAATTTAAAAGCCCAACTTTCAGCTGAAAGATACGGATCTAACAAATGACCATGTTGGAAAGCTGGGTTAGTGTATTAATGTACAAATGCAGCCCGATACTCAGCTCATGCATTTGCCAATCCTGAGCCTGAACTACATGGAACGAGATTTGTCAAGTATTAGTTCCGTTCCTTCAAGGGAACCATTTCGGAGTTACTTGTCCGCCGAATGTCACATTTTGTTACAATTCTCACATGCAAAATATTTTCCATAATAGGTTAGTGACTAACTTTGAGATAGGAATTTAGTTGATTGGTAAAAGGGTTGAAAGTAAATTAAATTATTTAATAAGAGCACATAGTGGTTATAACTATTATTATACGTTTCGGTACGTTTGGTGATTTAGCTCTGTCAGCTCGTGTCAGTTTAGTCAAAATTACTATTAAATACTAAAACAATGTGCGTTTATTTAGTTAGAAAGCGGCCCGATTACTGTAGAAACTTTGATAAGTAAGCCCTGTTTGACCTTTAATCTTGATCCATTTGAGATATTATTTCTTTTGGTCCTGCCTCTAGCTATATTCAGCTAAACATCCGGAAAAGGAGGAAACACATCATGAGTGCAGAGTAGAAGTCTGGCAACATAAAAAGCGTTTGTTTCAGCCGTAGTCCAAGTAATGAAAATAACCGGGGTTTGGTTCAAATTCTGGCTGCATGAGGCACGAGTACCTCAAAGTCGTTAAACACAAGTTGCCTGAAATGTGTTACAAATACTTGATTAATTTTCCATTCTCAGCTCCTATTTTCTAAACTACAACACATAACAAGAACTAAACCGGTTTGGCATCCTAAAGTTTGAGTCAAAAGACTTGCAAGATGTACCTGATCCGCATATAATATTATAAATTTGTACATTTGCCGACAGACGACACACGGCCTCAATAGGGGGAGCGATAATTTGTATAGTGAATACGTTTCATAA